ACCACCTTCATCTCCATCAGCAGTTCTTGTCAACACAGACAAAACATAGTACTTTTTCCCATCAATCTCGGGTGTTGAACTTTCCAGAATGTTTGCCGTGGCGACGGTGTTCGGATCAAAACCACCCTGATGATTCAAAGTTCATACTCAGTTATATGCGTGAGTGTCCAACACTGTTATTTTGGGTGTCGTCGTGTCTGGTGTCTGTGCTTCGTATATATTTAGGTGTATTTATGTTTAGTATTGAGTCACTTACCTCAGCTTGTGTTTCGCCGAAGAAAGCTTGCTTTCCAAGTAAATAGTTCACCTGCAAAGTGGAAAAATCAAGTCTTGATCTTGAATTTCAACCACCAAGTAGCCAGTTTTGTTATTGTCTTAAGAATCTAATATACACCATCACTATCAAAAAATTTTTACACCGTCAATGAATCATATTATACGATTATTACACATGATAGTACTAGTACTAGTTTACCTTAGAGAGGAACTCTTCAGGTGAACCATAGTCAATGATGGATTTCTTATCAGTTGGAGTCACAGTGACAACGACATTGCTTGTCGAATCGAAGTTGTCTTCATATCTAACAACCTGACCTGCGTATTCAACCTCTTTGCTAGGGTTCCACTTTGATGGAACTGATAGTTTGAATCCATCTCCATTGTATGGCAAGAAATCCGTGTTTGTCTTTGGTTTTCCAAACACATTGGCTGCAACCAAAACATATAAGCAAATTCTAACTAATCTCACCATATTTCATATCATCATTCTCAAATATAATTCATTCACTTCTAATTTTATTGTCATGAACTATGAAGCATGCACACAGACACCGATACCGACACGACACCAGTGAGTGTTTGCGTCGGTGTCTAATACTGGTGTCAGTGCTACAAGCAGGTGAGAAAGTAAAATACCAGATTGACCATAGGCTGCATCAGCAGGTGAGACTTTGGAACCAACAGCAGCAGAACCAATAAGAACAGTGAGAGCTAACCGGCGAGAGATTATGTTGCTGCAATCATCTTGATGGATCAGTTGTTTCTGATTCTGAGTCTTGCAAACAATAAGCTGGTTTTGGTTTGGCTTAGTGTTTATTACTACTACTTGGCGTTGTGATGAGAGTTTGGTAGTTCTGGTAGGGGTGGTAAGTGTAGGGTGGGACAAGAAACATTGAGTAGAACTAGAAGAAGCCATTGAATTTTGAGCAGTTAGCTAGCTATCACTCTCTCTTCTTTGTTTGTTCTGTTGATTGAAATTATTGTAGTTAATTTATTTAAGATAGGTTGTGGAGTTGGAATAGTTTAGAATATTCGAGTATGTTTGGTTTTGTGACAGTGAGATTATGGTTGGTTTTGGATTTTAGTGATGGGAATGGATGGTTGGATTAGATTTTGAGTGTGTTGGATAAGGTAGTAAGGGTTATGATTGGTGCCACGATATGTCATGTATCCTAAATTCTTATTTTCTTCATGTTAAATACTATAAAAAATTAAAAAGTAATTTTTTTTTTCATATTGAAAAAAAAAGTCATTTAAAAAATAAAACTCGAAGAAATAATTCTTACAAGAAACCTTGCAAAAAAAATCAATACTCCGCATTTTTATCAGCGTTAGATAATCAACACAAACATTCTTTTCCTTAGAAGTAAAAAATATTTGAACTTGTCATTCACTAGTGAGATGCTTTTTAATATTGTGATGAGTCGCGATATAGTGATGTCATATATTAATAGTGTTTGAAATAAGTTTGATATCAAAATTAGAGTTAGAATAACATATCAAGTCTTTAATGCTAAATTTTTAAGCCATACACAAACCATGATATAATATCATCAGCTGAAAATGAAGTATGTTAGAATAATTAATATTACCTACAAAACCTTGAATTCAAGCAATATCAGCATTTCAATCAATCTACCAAAATCCGAGACGTCGGGATTACCGAGACTACTTCCATCAATATTCAAAATCATACTACTACCTTTGTTTGCATTACACGTGATTGTTCTTGTTGGATGATACAACTTATGTTTGAGAAAACATTTAGTTAATATATTAACATAATTTATTGTGACGAGTTTCAAAGTATAGGATGATACAACTTCAATCGCAAGATACAATTTGTTCCTAACGCGCCATAATCACCAGCAAACAACCAAAAAGATAGAGCCAGACATCATTGATGTAATGTCTAATCCAATCATATAAGCTATCTATTTGGAGAAATAGTGGGTTCAAGAAGCAAATAGATTTTCAAATGCGAGTAGCAAATTCATAACCTATATATCAGTGTAGAATCGTCTTAACGTCTTGATTGCGTCAAGGACATAGATTCATCTGGAGGATAACACATTGACACAACATTGATCTCATAGGAAGGGACTCATGTAAATTCGTTCAAAGGAAGAATTTCACCTTCTTAAGGCCGAAATGTGCTACACCCACTTTCAAAAGTTATTGTCGGTTGTATTCTAAACAAATTTAAATCTGTTGATTTAGTTATAACCATCTCGGGTAGTATAGATACCATATAAATTTTTTTTTTAGGTTAACCGACCAGGCACCATATAATTCAAACAAATGGGAAGCGTTTTCAAGTTTTCACAAACAAGCGGAGGAATATAATTTTATAATGAATTAAAGTTTCAATTTCTATCCAAATAAACATCATTCACTCGCATTTACTGATCATGGATAATTAATTAAGATATAATAAATCAAAATTGTGTTGTTGGTGTTTATTAGCTTTTCTTTAGTTAGAGCATCTTTAATGCAGGTTTTAATATATAACGATGATTATAAAGAATTTGCATTGGAATGACTATGACATGACATTTAATTCACTAACTTTTAGTTTCCGCCAATTATATAACTAACGTATGCTATTTATTTTGAAATATATAATATTATTATTTATATTATTAAAAAAATAGTTATAATTAAAAAAATATAAAATATAGAGTCAAGTTTTAGTTTTTTATAAGCAACTATCATTAAAGTAAAAACAACTCAAATCAATTATAAATTTTTAAATCCTACAAATCACTTTAGGTCCATAAAAAATATCTTAGTTTACCCATTTAAGATACTCCCACTAAAGATTCTCTTAGTTTTTCTGACGCATTACACAAATGTATAAAATGATAAAATATTATTTTTAATTTAATATTGATTTTGAAAAGCAAAAAACGAAAATTATAAATTAAAAAAAAATTAATTGCATAAATGTGAGATAATAATAATTTTTTATTTCAAAATAAGACAACCAATACTCGCCACCTTTAATTATATTTTAAAATATTTATAGTAAATTAATTAATATAAGGTAAAATAAAAAAGATCAACTACACTAAAATTGTATTTTCCATTTATACATTATTGCTATAGATATATTGTTATAGATAATCCATGTATAAAAAAAAAAATCCAATTATTTATTTTTATTTTCTAAAACACACATTATTGCCACACGCACACCCTTCTTTCTAAATTAACTTTCCTTTTTCAGTCACTTCACTTCATTGCTTGTACTTGCCTTCTACTTCCCTCTCTTCACTCTGGTTCGATCTTCAAACCCATTCACTTCATCTCTTTCATTTCATCATCTTTCACATTTTTCAATCTTTTCACGCTTCTTACTTTACGCATTCTCATTATTCATCTTTTCAATTTATTTTTTGGCAAATCTTTTACACTGTGTGTTGTTGAATTATCTTTAAAAATCTGTTCAGTTAGGTTTTTGCATGTGTTTGTAGACTGGAAATTGAGTTCGAATTTCTTTGTTTATTGATTTATGTGTGCCATTGTATGTCAAATGCTGTTACTTAAGACTCTGAATTTAGATGGATAAGAGATAAAAAAACTGAACTTTTTGTGAAACCCCTTTTGCTTTTTTGCTTTCTTATTTTATTTTATTTTTTAAGAGTTTTTGTTATAGTAGCGGTCTTGGTTGGTTCTTTGCTTTTAGAGTAGAGATCAATTTTTTTAGTATTACTATTGGTGGTAGTTTTTTTTTTTTTGGGTACTTTTTCAATTTGAGGTGTTTTGTGATGTTTGACCTGTTGAAGTGTTTTTTCCATTCTCACTTTAGGATAAATAAACTGCAAATGTGAACAAGGTTTAATTGTATGTTTGGTTTCACGTTTGTTTGTAGCACTCAGAATTTATTCTCTAATGTGTAGAATTGATTTGATACGTTTGGTTGCTCTCGAGTATAATTGATTATGTTTTCTAATATTGATTTTACTTAATGGTAGAATTTGTAGCTTTCGAGTCTATACGTGTTTTTGCACTGAAATTTTACTGGTCAACTCAATTTTGCAAAAATTTAGTCAAATATAAATCACTTTACCTTTAAATCATTTTAGCCAGAATCAATTCATTTAAAATCAATTTTCTTCACTGCAGAATCAAACACGTGTTAAGTCGTGTTCCTGATTCTTGATATTGCGGAAAATTGTGGTCAAATATGGTCAATGAAGCCACAATGTAGTTGTAGAGACATAATTGTGGTTGCAGATCGATTTTTTAACCTTGAGTGTGGATTATGCCTTGACATTTTGACCAGAGGCATGTTTTGGAACCTTGAGTGTGAATGCTGCTTTGAGCTTTTGACCGGGGGCAAGTTATTGGAGTTTTTATTTTCTTGTTCTCGGTTGTGGTTTTTGCCTTGAAAATGGACAGCACGAAAACATTAAAGAATCAGTGTCATGAAAGTTAAGATAAAATATCGATTAACCATGTAGATATGATTAAGTTTCTGACACTAATTCCTTCATGTTATACGTGTTTTCCATTTTGTCCTCTCTTATCATGAAGACCAGCATGTGGTGTGTGTGTGTGATTGTGTGTTGAGTGTTGACTTAATCATAAATTTCTTCTGAAAAGCTTCTCGGCACCTTCATGTTTGTTGATTTTTTTCGTAAATGGTGATTGATATTTGCGATGTTGTATATAACAAAATTTATGATGTTCTTTTTATCGCTAGATTTACGGGAACAATGTCTGACAAAATTAGTGCTGAAAAGCTTCTCAACAATTTCGTGGAAACACTTGCCGAGAAGCAAAAATCTGCATCGTACTTTCAAGATGTGACGGCAAACTCAATGACCTCCCAGTTCAATAGATTGTTTGGACGTGAGAAACCTGTGCACCATATTTTAGGCGGTGGAAAATGTATGGTATTGCCATTTCTAGTGAGTTTCATGTAAAATCTATCATATTGGCTTCAAATTTTAAGTCTTATTTCCTCTTTGAATGACATAGCTGCTGATGTCTTGTTATGGAGGAACAAGAAGATCTCTGCGAGCGTTTTAACCGCTGCAACAGCTATATGGGTGCTCTTTGAATGGCTTAATTATAATTTCCTATCTCTTCTTTTCCTTGGTCTTGTTCTTGTCATGTCTGTACAGTTTCTTTGGACAAATGCTTCCGGCGTGTTTAACAGGTTTTCCGAGCATCTATGATTTTTTTTACCTTTTGTTTTCTGATTTTAATCTAAACGTATTACACTATTTTACACCTTTAATAATGTTTTTTCTATGTGGTCACAGCAGGCCATCTAAAGTTCCGCGTCTGGTTCTCCCGGAAGATTTCTTTGTTAATATTGCAACTGCGGTCGGTGCTGAGATTAACCGTGGTTTAAGGGTTCTTCAAAATGTTTCATGTGGAGGAAACTTGAAGCAATTTATTCTTGTAGGTTTTCTAAATGCATTCTTATTTTGGTATTGTCTTTTACAATCCATATTCATGCTTAAAACAATAGTTTTGAAGTTAAAAAACAAAATATATTGATCGAATTTGCGATAATGCTTAAAACATATGCAGGTTGTAGTATGCTTATGGGCTGGTGCTGTGATCGGGGGCTGGTGCAACTTCTTGACTGTCATCTATATCGGTGAGACATCTTCCTCCTTTTCGTGGCAATGCATCATAGAGAAAACCAAATCTTGGAAACAATATGATAGTTCAACGGCAATGTTTTTTTAGTCATACTTGAACATGATTGCTATAACTTTTTTATGTTGTCTTCTAGGTTTTGTTGCTGCACACACGCTCCCGGTTCTCTATGAAAGGTATGACGATCAGATCGATAACTTCGTGTACAAGGTACTTGATCAGATGCAAAATCAGTATAAGAAGGTGGATTCTGGTTTGCTTAGCAAAATCCCCAAGGGAAATCTCAAAGGAAAGAAGTTTGAATAGATTCATGTTTATGTAAATGGTTTGATTTTTAGTATGCATTTCTCATCTGTGATGAAATTGGGACACATCTGAATTTGTTGTTTCCAATTTGGCTCTAATATTTCCTTTTTCTATGTTGAGGTCTTCAAAATTCGGGTTATGTCCTACTTCTTATTTGAGTGTGGAAAAAGACTTCTTTATTTGTAATTAACTTCTTCATTAAGTTTTTTTGTCAAGTTAACTTCTTCATTAACCCTAAGGGTTCTTCTAGTGGAAGACTTGGGTCTTGAGAGGGTGCATTCTTTAAGGTCTTAAATTTGAATGCTGCTCGGAGTTATCGGTCCTTGTATTAGGTCAGTCTAGGGTGCATTCTTTAAGGTCTTAAATTTGAATGCTGCTCGGAGTTATCGGTCCTTGTATTAGGTCAGTCTATGTAGAGCTTTGCTAATAGACGGTGAAATTGGTTATCCTGAATTAGGCAGTTTCAAAGTCGAATAAAAAGATTTAAAAAAAATAATAAGTCCTTCATTAATTTTTTTTGTCAAGTTAACTTCATTTTTATTAGTTACAAAAATCAATATTTTTCTCCACTTTATTGTTTTGAATTCAACCAAACTTTTTAACATGATATCACAATTATGACATCTATTCTAAAGTTATGCTTGTCACTACTTTTAATTTTTCTTCTTCTTTATTCATATTCTGTCTATGGACGGCCCTTGCAATTTGATTGATTTAAAGTTACACATTAAGTAACTTGGAAATTCATTGTAAAATCATAAAAATGACATATTTTATTAAAATATATATTTTTAAATGATTTTTATGAGATGTTAATCAAAATAGCTTCTCATTTTAAGTATTTTTTGAAATTTTATTAGCCAAAAGAAGTTGTAATAAGAAGATTAAATATTTTAAATGATTTCTCACTCCCAACCCTCTCGGGTTTAGTGTATTGATAAAATGGTTAAAATGGAAAAAAAATTATAGCATAATTGGTTTTTTTAATTATAATAAACCACGTTAAAATCCTCAATTTTAGGACGGTTCAATCGTTTAAAGGTTTAATTTCTTTTTAAAATGAGGTCTTTAAAATAAATATATAAAATTCTATTTGACAAGAGTTGAATTAAAAACTTAAAAGATAAATGATTTATTTTCTACCAACTCAACAATGATATTTTATGTAAGAAATATGTCATTTAAAATATCTATGATTAAATTAAAATATTTTGACACTTTTTTATAATCCAAAATTTAGAGGCCTAAAGCCGCCTTACCCTTGGATCGACCCTGCTTAATATATATATATATATATATATATATATATATATATATTTATTTATTTATTTGGAATAATAATGTTTAATTTAACATGCAAGCACTTTCCTATTTTTTTCTAACACTTTTTAGCAAATAAATCAAAATATCAAGCTTTTTTTAACACTTTAAAGACCAAAATTAATTATCATAAACTTTTAAAGGATCAACAACAATCCCTCTACTAAAAATCACATGGTTAAGGAAATTCACTTTCTTCAACCAAAACTCACATTTAGATAATTTAGCATATAACTTATTCTCTTGTAAAATTCCAATCTCAGATGATCTGCATACTCTTCATATGTCTTCAAATAAATCAGGATATCGTCGATGAACACAACCACAAACTTGTCTAAATACTGATGAAAGATCATGTTCATATACTTCACGAACACACCAGGAGCATTAATACACCAAATGACATTACACGAATTTGATGATAACCGAATCTCAAATAAATCTTGTTGAAAGCAGAAGCACCTACTAACTGGTCCATCAAATCATTAATCCTCAGAAATGTATACTTGTTCTTAATAGTTACTTTGCTCAAATGTCGGTAGATGACACACAGCCTCATACTACCATCATTCTTCTTGACTAACAACACTGATGCACCCCACAACAAAACACTAGAACAAACAAACTTCTTCTCAAGTAAATCCTCTAATTGCTTCTTCAGCTCACTCAACTCTGAAGTAGACATTCAATAAGGATTCATTGACACTAGACTCGTACCTGGTACCAAATCTATAGCAAACTCAACCTCGCACTCTGGCGGCAAATCGCTGATATCTTCAGGAAACACTTCTGGGAAATCACAAACAACCAGAACATCACAAACTACTCCATTGCCTTTGGCTTCTAACAAAGCTAAAATCACTAACACTTGTGCACCATCCCTTATAAACTCTCTTACTTGTTTAGCCGATACAAACACATATTTATCTTCAACAAACTCTGGAAACATCATTATCTTGGCGTAATAGTTGATATGCACACAGTTGAACTCCAACTAGTCCATCCCTAGAATAACATCAATTTGCACCAATGGAAGACAAACCAAATCTATTCCAAAATCTCTACCAAAAATACTCAGCGGAAAATTGAAACAAACAAAAGTCGTAGTTACCGAACCCATAACGTGGGTTTCAATAACCATGCTCCCACTATTAGATGGCAATGCGGGTTTCAACCTCTTAGCACAATCCAAGGAGATAAAGGAATGTGTTGCACTTGTATCAATAATATCAATAAAAGGAATATCATTGATAAAACGCGCACCTTGAATCAATCTTTCATCAATGGTAGTCTCTACTCCCGACAAGACAAAAAAATTTCCTCTAGTTTGGCCTTCTTAGGTTTCTGACAAGTAGTACTGATGTGACCCCGCTCTCCACTGCTATAGCAAGTCATAATATTACCCTTGCAATCAGCATCCTTATGACCAGTCTTCCCACACTTGAAACATTTATCCTCAGAACTTCGACACTCAATATCATGATGTCCCACAACACCACACTTAAAGCACCTAACCGAAGTAGGAACTCCTCTACCACTTGGTTTCTTTTCACCCAAAGTCTTTTGTTTCCCCTTGTCAGCAGGAGTTACATAAGGGATTCCTCGAAACTATCCCTTCACTTTCTTCTTATTAAGACTCTAATAGTGAGCAGACCAGACTCTGCTATCTTCATCATAGATTCTGCTCTTATTCACCAATTCAGCATACCTATGAACCTGTTGGTACCCAATACCTTGTTTGATCTCTAGTCTCAGCCTATTCTCAAACTTGAGACATTTCGAAGTCTCAACAACAACATTTTTGTAATGAAGGCAGAACTTCACCAACACCTAAAACTTCACAGCATACTCTGCTACAATCACATTCCCTTAATATAGCTCAAAGAACTCTATCTCCTTCTTTCCATACATATCCTCAGGGAAATACTTCTCCAAGAATTTGTTTCTGAACATAGCTCAAGTAATCTCTACACCAGTAGCTTCAAACCTCTGTCACACGTTACCCACCATTCATCGGCTTCCTCTGAAAGCATATGAGTACCAAATTGTACCTTTTGAACGTCAGTGCAGACCATCACTCAGAAGATTTTCTCAATTTCTCTTAACCATGACTATGCACCTTCTGGATCATAACTACCCTTGAAACTTGACAGATTATTCCTTTGAAATTTTCCTAATGCACGAAACTCATCAGGAGCTCCTTCCATTTTTCCATTATGGTTGTTTTGTGAATTCTAAGTCATCACCTAAGCAAGCAATTCCAAAGCTTCAGCAATAGCATCATCATTTCTCCCTCCAACTATAGTCCTGAATAACCAAACATCACACACACGTCAAAAGGAACGATGTATCGAAAGTGTTCTCATACATTTATTGCATATAGGGAAGCAACAACATCAAATAACCTGATCGGATGGACCGACATGCTCTTATACCATTATGTAACACCCTATTTACTCGCGCATAAATATACATTAAAATTAGAGTATTCACACAATCAAATAAGATGTCACACATTCTCTTTTCAAAACATACATTCCCTGTAAAACTTTATCAAAAATATCACCAATTAACACCATCACTTAGGGTGTCACCGCATGCTCACCTTCACGTAGGGTATCATCACAAAAGAATCTCTCATAATATAGCATGCAATAATTAAATCATTTACACTCAAAATTCACTTTATAGCATAATCAACCTCATAAATGAATCTTCTCAAACAATGAAATATCAAACATGAGAGTGTACATTAACTCTAATGAAAAGACAAGAAAATAATTCACAAGCATTCCCTAGTGTTACATATCAAAGCACGTAAACTAAAATGTAGAAAGAAAAAGGAAGTTACAACATCTCGCCATCCTCTAGCTCTAAACACCTACTCAATTACCTGCTTATCTATACTCCGAAGAGGAATACAAACCACATCAACAACAACAGGGTGAGAAATCATAAACAATAATAACATGCATATACTATAAGGTAGGATATCAAACACAACATATTCTACACAATCTCATTCACAGTATATCACAATACATTCTCACACTCATACTCATCAACTAATCATAGCTCAACAAATATGCATATAACTCATTATGCAATGTAACTCGACTAATGCAACTTTATGCATGTGGTACTGACTCAATATTTGGTTCTCTCATGAACTGGGTCCCCTTCATGATCCTTCTTTTCTGAGCTTCAAGTCTCCTTTTCCGAGTTTGGGACAAGCCATTAATCCCTTCTCTGAACTAGAAGACGTGCCTCTTGACAAAACTTAATTATGCATGAGCATATCATTAAATCAATGTGTTAAGAACCCTCTCTGATCCTAACATAATGCATTGACAACTCTAGTAATCTCCTCTCTAGTTACCACACCATAACAATTCACATATGCACAACATTATAGAATCCAATGCAACTCAAGTATACAATCAATCTCGCTAATTAGATTACTAATCATACATGCAACAACATAATAGTCATAAATATCACCTCAAAACATAATGGCATCGTCACACTCTTATTTCAGACGACAAAATCATTATAAAAACATCATCATCATCAATATAACTCACCAAAAAATAACATTACACTCTCATCACGTTTGCATATGTTTATCATTCATAAAGTAGTTCATGAGGTAACTCTGCGTGTGACTTTCCCAACACTTC